GAAAGGGCCACGCAAATATTACCTGTATGGTTCCTAAACCTGGTCCCTAGATGAAAGGGCCACGCCAATATCACCTGTACGGTGCCTTACCTGGTCCCTACATAATTTATGAAAGGCCCATGGAATTTTCCCGTACGGCGTTTTACTGGTAACACGTTATCTAGACCCAAGTCCCTCACGCACTCATTTAATACCTGTAAGGTTTCCAGAGCTAAGAGCCGCACAAATGACTGTTTGTGGCTTATCCACCGAATTGGAGTGATTATAGCCGTAAAGGTTGACGTTTTTTGCCCCTAAAAGGTGTGGATAAACGCCGGCAGCCCTCCCCACCGCTAGCTATCCCTCACTGCAGCAGCTGATACCCCGACCAATAGCAGCGTGGAGCTTGCTGAGAAATTGACCAATAGCAGCGTGGCCGTCTTTCGTGGCCGTCCTACCATATTCTAGACCAAGCCATACCTCGTTTCCGGGGACGTCTCGACAACTTTTACCCAAACTTTTGGCGGCGAAATTTTTCCCGAATTGCGTACAAAACATGAGGAGTGTTCCCTCGGACCATGGAGTCTACCCAGAGCACAAGTAGTGGGCATGAGCGCCGCAAAATGGCCGCCAACGGGCGAGGAACAGTTGCATTGACGCCGCTGGAAAGGCAGGACCTATACGAGTTGGATAGGTAAGGGTCCCCCCTAAAATATACCCCCGTCCCGTCCATATTTCATTGATGCAAACCGAAATAAACGTGCTGCAACGTTTTTATGTTGTTTTTCTGTCGTTCTAGTCGCTTGTTCGGGTTCCTGCGCTTAGAAGCGGACGAGAATGGAGCGGCGAAGAAGTCTCTACTCCTGAAGGTAGGTCCCATCGCCCTCCCTCTCTCTCGGGCCAGATCGGGCTCTTGCATACGAAACAACACACCAAATTCTGCAAAATCGGCGCCTTTCTGCGCCCCTAACCCACAACTAGAGCCCTCACACACACTTTAGGTGTTATTGGGTACTACAAGTATATTTCTGTGGTGTAAGTTTGAGCTGGAAGGGGGATTTTTTGACATTTCTTGGCCGTGTTGAATCGTTGGATAAATTCAAGATGGCGGCGCAATTTTTTTTAAATGGCAGCTTGCCACGACACAGTTTTTATCGTGATCTTGAGCGGTTCGCTTGCCTCTAGCTCGCCGTTAACTTCTCCCAGACTTGCCCGGCACACGGGGCACCCTATGCCCGATCTTCTAGCGGTGGGACACCCCGCTAACCCTGTGTTTTGAGCGCCGAAATGCCGCTAGAAGAGCGGCAAATGGGGGAGGGTGGGGTACCAAACAGTGCACCTACGTAGTTCTATAATATCCCGAGCTCTATGGCAAAACACTAGCAAAGCGCGTACTGTGAAATCTTGTACCCCGGCCGCTTTCTCTGTCTTCTACTGCAAAATAGGTACATATCTTTGTCAGTTACACTCAAAATGTGCAGGTGATATCATATTAGTGTGGCTGGGGTCACGAAAAAAGCCAGGTCAGTTTTTTTCCAGCTAGTGCAAGGTTGTTGAACAAGTGTGTTCTCACAGAATTCTACGAAACGTTAGGATTTCTTTTTCACAACAACAAAAGATGCACACAGACCCTGTTTTGTAAGCCTAACTGTGGGAAAATCACTACCCCAGCATGTTTACAGGCCTTCCATGTGGGGGCTGAACCTAACTGTATTGGGGGTAAACAATACCAGTGACAGTGAGGAATTGTGCATCCACTCGTGTGGTATTTTACACTTTACTTCCCACTTTTATACATTTATGGCCTGAATCGGGATTAGCAAGTTTTTGGTCCACTGATTGCTAAATATAGGAAGTCTTGTGGGATTGTGTACATGGGAATTTTTGTCCTAGGAAGAAGCCTTGTTTTTCTGAGTGTTGCATGCTTGCTGTATATTGTTTGCATAGTCAGAACAATGGATTTCTATTGTGTTAATTAGAAACGTAATGCGTTAACTGATTTGGTATTTGGGGCAAGGGACGCCTGTTAAATTTTTAGTACCACATTTTAAGTCCATGTTTTGTGATGATATTTGACAGGTACAGGTTTGGTTGCAGGTGTTTTTGGTTGTGTAACATACCGTCTTGTGTAATGGTCTATTTCTGACTAATTTTTGCTTGTTGCATCCTTCATTTATTCACACAAAACTCATTCACTTATTAGCAAGTTGGAGTCACAAAATTTTCACATAATGGAAGTCTGACAAATCTATAAACATGAAGTCCTAAAGATGGATATCCTTACACATATGTGTGACAATATTTGATGCTGAGTTCATTCAACACTGCATTGTGTACATTATATAGCTGACATAAATTTGGACATGGCCGGACATACCCTCCCATATCCTGCAGTATGCTAAACGTTTTGAAACTGATTTAAAAAAAAATGCCAACAGCAAGTGTAAATGTAGAGTTTATGAACATTGCATAAAATGGTTAGACATATTTTGAGTTTTGTGAGGTGATGATAGTATGATCAGTGTGTCACACATATCATATGGCAAGGAAATCATATCTTGATATTGCAAACATGGTTTTGTAGAAATTATAAATGTCAGTAGCCTATCAGTTAGTTGTATATTGGTGGTCCAGTGTCCACTTTCATAAGTTGGACACAGAACTAGTTTTTGCCCAGTGGTAATGATCAGTCTTGTATAACTGTATTCTTCTGAATTTGTAGTGTTGTGTTGTCTTCTAAATGTGGTGAAATTTGCCAATGCTAAAAGTGAAAGTCCTTTGCTCAATGTTGACAATGTTTATACACTATTAGTATTTAGTAGTAATTTCTGTAGATTCCATGGCTATACCAGTACAGGTGTTCTTATGAATATGAATTATAATTCAGGGCTCTCGCCTAGCAATGGAGCAAGGGTGCTCCCCCTTTCCCAAAAATCCTCCCAAAATGTTTAAGTGTAGGGTTTTCCCTTGGTATTTCCATAAAATCTCTCCTAAGAATTTCTGGGGAAGACCCCTGAATATTATACTGTATATATATACACCATAACATATACACAGTATTAGCACTTTGTATTGAGTGAAATGAAGCAAAAAAGCTCTGAATCTTGACTATAGTATATGATAGCAGTGTTAGATTGTCACTTAGAAATACCCACCTGCAGTCTGCATTTTGCAATTGCAGAGACATTTTCAATACTGCAGAACAAAAATTAACCAACCTGCAAAAAAATCAGGCTAGGGGTTCAAGAGCTTTTGTGTTTACTACTAACCATAAGATGCAAGTACTATGGCATGTATTTTTGAAATTGCATCATGCATGTAAAATTTTTGCCAAAATGCAAATTTGTATATGCCATGGGTTTAGATCAAGACTTCTGGTTGTGAATTTGCTGAAAGTATTACCAAATTGTACAACCAAACTTTGACGTAATGCAATATTGCACAACACAAAAAAACTATTTCTACCACTGCTGACTCTATGTATGAGAGGCTTTTGATGTATCTGTGCTGATTTTATGTTTCTTGGAACTGGAAGAGTTCCAGGAATGAGGATTCTGGAGGATTTTGGGTTGTTTCGCCAGAAGGTAGAAGAAAGTAAAGTTTACAGTACTATCTGTGCATGAGTGATGCCACCAGGTATTGTGTATGGAAGTCACAAGATTATAACTATGCTGTAATGCTCAGGGCTCGAAATTCATTTTTGGGAATAGGTGCACTGGTCAGTCTGGTGCACCCAATCTAAAAAAATTAGGTGCCCAAAATATTTTTGGGGTGCACCATATAAGATAAAATAGGTAGAATGTCAGCAAAAATTAATTACAAGATCTTCATGATGTATGTTTCTTTGCTAAAGAAAACTACCTGAAGTACAACAATGATTTTATTACTTTTCTGACACTTAGATATCGATGTTAAGAGTTTGCTGTATACTACTATACATTTAACACCCTTTACATACGTAAACCTACGAAAATATTTGGGTGCAGAAAAAGATTAGTTGCCATGTAGTATTTTGAGCCATGTAAATGCTAAAGCTGTTGTTGTGTAGAATGTAGAATCTGTGCAAGTGCAGTTGATACTAGTAGTTATTTTGTTTATGAGCTGCTAGATGAGTTAATAATTTACACATTTTGACATAACCTAATACCATAGGTCTAGTAGTATTGGAATTAGGTAGCTTTCTATTCAAAAAGCAAAATGCTGTAGTTGTATTTTCTATTTGTGACCAGTGGACTGAGAAATTTGATAATTTTTGGGGTAGGAATTATGTTATTTGGAAAATCGTAAATTTGTTCATCTTGTTTTGGTCTATATGTAGATTATGCGGGTTGTTTGAGTCTAATCGCTTCCTTTTTGTAGTGTTTAGAATTATCTAGTTCATATTGCAGTGCAAAATACATTGTCTTGGAAATATATGGCATGTCTTGTTTCCTTTAGATTTTGAACTGATATTTAGAAAAATATGAGAACTGAAAAAAAAATTGCTGAGAGGAAGTTTATTGTAAAACTGTGTGTACCAAGGTTAAGCCTTTTTTCTCACACTCTGTTTTCCATTTTAAAACTCCAGTTCAGCCAAATCTTTTATAATCTAACAACTAAACAAGCAAGAAATGCAGTAGGCTTGGCCTATTAATACTAGTAGTGTTATCAAAGCTGGTTTAATTTGTGCTAAAATCTTTACTCCCATCTCTTCCTGACATTGCAATGATCAATAGGACGTTGACCCCATGACAGCATAGGTGTTGCTTATACTATAGGTTTTATCCAGTCTATTTTAGTGTTTCAGGACATTGCACTAATATTTTAACCTACCACACTGCACCACCACTTTTGACAAATTTTTGGTTATTTCTTAGTATTTACCTGTGTAATAATATATCAGCGGTCTTCCCATAAATTCTTAGAGGAGAGGTTCTCCC